CTGCACTTGCCCTGCAATCTTCAAGGCCCCTTCCTTCGCCCAATCCCGGAGGCTCCATGAAAGACCAAAGGTTTGCCCAAAGCTTTACGATATCAACACTGCTCTGAACGTTTTTCCCACAAACCTTTTCACACAGGGTTGACAAACTGGAGCCGTGCTTTTTTCTCCCCGGGCTTTCTCAAGCCTATCCCATGTTTGACGGGCCGAAGTTGACCTCTTGACCTCGCTCCAGTCACTCGCGGCTCTGAGTCTGCGGCTTCTGTCGAAGTCACCGAGAAACGCCAAGTCCTTGCGATTCAGGACGTGGTTGGTAGTGGTCGACTCCTTCTTCCTCAGCCGGTCTCGAAAGGTGATATGGAGTCCCCCGATTTGGTACGGCCCGGAAAACCTGGCCTGTGGATGTCCATGACACTAAAATGAGAAAGCGGAAATGTCTGGAACCACCAGAAGTGCAACTAGATTCACAAAATTGTTTTCCAGGACCGCCTGGCCTTCCAAGCGACAATGCTTGGGCCCAAATCTTGGTCACGTCCAAGCCAAATGTATCCAGCGTTAAAAAAAGACCAAAAGCAACCAAAAGAAAATCCATCGACTACGTTGCTCATCCATTTTTCTAGTGTTGCTCATCCTTTGCACTCTCTCTCTCTCTTTCTCTTTCTATATCTCGCAAACTCAATGCCAGTGTCGTTGTTTCATGAAGTGAGTCCATATGAGCAATGCACAACAGCTACTAATTGAGGTCACACTCCGTTGACATGACAAAAGCTGTTTCGTTCGCTTGGCTTGATTCCCAACTGAACATGAGACATTCGAGGTTTCAACCTGGTGGTTCTGCGGTAACATCCCGCCAGCGGCCTGGAACTGCTGCCCATGTTTGATGTAAGCTCGAGTAACCTAAATGAAATCAGGACATCTAAGAAGCTCCCTTCTAGGTCCTCCAGAAGAGAGGTTCGAATAAGGGTACCAACTTTTTTCGGGAATCATCCCCAAAAAAAAGGTAAAAGGGCACTACTGGGGGACCTAGCTTTGATTTGGGGTTTGTCGGACACGAAAGGTGGACCACCATTTATTACCCAGATGGCAAGAGCCGTGCCCTTGTCCAACAGGAGCTTGTTGAACCAAGGCTGGGTGTGCGGTGAAAAAGGATAGCCCCCTGCATAATCACATGGAAACCCAAAGAACCAGTTGAACCAGCAGTTATCATTTGTACAGGAATCTCCATTGGGGTACTCCGTGTTTGGCTCTGAAACTGTTAACCTGCAGGGGAATAACTTCCCCCTTTCGGGATGGTAATAAAATACACTGACAGCGCAATGAAAAAACAGGTGCTTAGGAAACACCATCTGAGTCTGCCTCAAGTCCAAGTTGAAATGATTGCTTTGGTTGATTTCGACAAGCCTGAGGGTTCCAACATTTACACAGTTTGTACTTGAGGTGATGCAAAAATATGCCGATTGCTTAGGAACAAAGGCGCCGCCTCGATCTGAAACACGCGGGCGACCGAGGCGCAAAATGCGGCTGCTGTCGGCCTGCAGGCCGGCCTTCGAGCGCTCGTAGCGCATTCGCAGCTCCTGAGGAGCCGGTTGAGAGCCAACTGAAACACCTCGGCTAGGATGATATGAATATCACACATGCATGTGTGTATATATATATATATATAGACACTTCGGAAACGCATTGGATGTGCTTTCAGTGGATTCCCACGTTGTTTTACTGGTTGCTCTTTTTTAGTACTCTTTTAGTACTCTTTTGCGATCCTACAGGGGTGGACCCACAAAAACCGCATCCAAACCATTTCGCGGATATTAATATCTAAATACCTATTTTTGTATATATATATATACACATTGATGTATATGGACATAAACCTCTAACCCCTCCCGGGCCTTAGGAGGGTTCCCCCTTCTAATGACCTAAGCAAGGCGGCCAACTCTAGATTTAAGGCTCAGCCATGTGCCGAGTCTAAGTTCTATACTTCCCACCAGGAAACAACATGGAAGTGCACAACTGTCGCTCCGAAGGGCTCCTGTAGTGTTCTAAAAGGAGGTCAACGTGCAACAAAGCCTTTCTATGGGATTCAACCCCTAAACTAACTCCTTGGCCCCCGCCGATTGGTTCGGGCTTGCTCGTCCCAGACTCGGTGGAACTGCGTAGAACTGTTGAACAAAAAGCGCGGGAGATGGGTCCCCTTCTCAGCAGAGCCAAACCATCAAACAACACATTTCAAGCTCCCCGCAGGGAAGTGGGCATGGATCATGTCATGTCGTGGTTGTTCTTCTGAACCTGTTTATCGCCCAGGATGCCCGGATCAGGATGAGTGAGATACAAATCATCTGATTCAGCCAGTGATCCTTACTCATCCACCCAATGCATGGACCTGCAAACAATTATCCAAACTGCTGCTATGTTGGCGAGCTGCCTCAGGCAGTCGACACAGTGGCGTCTCAGAAGTTTCTCTGAGGAACGCCTTACCTCGCTGTGGGGCAATGTTGACCCCGGATTGATCAAACTGGTGGGTGCATGATGGAAGAATGATGAGTAGTTGCTTCCCCCACAAGTGAAGGATCCCATGTTGAATGGCGCACTCCCCAATCAACACCAAGAAATTGTATGAAATCCTGGGTTCCCCTCACCTGTATGCAAGCTTACTTGCACCTGGGTTCCGATTTGAAGTCTTCGAACACGAGCTCCCCCCCCCCCTGGGTTTTTGAGCCTCGTGGTGCACCCAATACGCGCATGCGATGTCTTTGGCCGCGCCGGCTGCCTCCAGCAGACCCTTCACCGCCGCCCTAGGCGAAGCGATGGGGCTGGACACCGCGAATTCAAGTTTCACCCGAACTGACTTTTGGTTCTATGGATAAAATTGGTGTATATCGAGTTTATTATAACCGGTATGCGTCGTCCCCAGAGCATGTAAGCTGCTGGTATCTCTGGTGGTCGCTGCCTCACGGATGTACCTGCAACTCCTTTGCTTCTGTTGGCTAAATGCCAACACACAGTTCTTGAAAATAGTGAGCCCCAGCTTGCTGACTTCTACATAAGCCAAGGAGGAAATGGAACAAACGCTTTTGTTGCAAAGGTCACAACTACAACCATGACAACCATGAGGCTTGTGGTTGAATGAGGTCGGATGCTGGTGTGATTCCAAAACCCCTGCCCCCTTTTCAAGTCAAGAATCAGTCCTTGGAAAGGCCGCTTCAGGTGGTATCACACACACCACAGCAGACCGAATTGGACATTCATTTTGCACGGCGGGTTTTGCCGTCGCTTGGATGGATTGGACCCCTTGGAGTGGCATTTGACAACATGAATCTGAGACAGCGAAGGACGCCCTCAATCATTTATGTGCTACTCGGTATGCGAAAATCTTAAAGACTTTGTTTGCTGATCCCGTCAGTGGTGGCTCCAAGTCTGTTGGAAATCGATTCAGTTGAAAGCAGTTTGTCTGAGTTGTACGGTCCTCCGGATCAATCCTAAGTTTCGTAGCATTAACCAATTTTAACAAGGTACCCTCAAAATAACCAAAGCCATCCAGAACCCTGGTTTTTTCAGGTGCATGGGAAACCCAAACCCCCGATTCAAGGGAAGCTGAAAAAAATGAGCGGGAAGCTAGAAAAAAAAACAAAAAAAAAAAAACGCCCGGTCCAAGCAGCTCTTGCTCTGAGGTGGCTGGCTCCAAGTAATGCCTGCGATGGGACGCTGAATCAGCGCCGATTTGTAGTCATCCCAAAGCTCGGGCCCACAGTCCAAATATCTCAAGCTTCATGAATTGAACACCACTAAACATTCGTTCATTCGGATTTCTCAATAGGGTCCGTGTTCTTGTTCAGAATCATCTGGCGCAACGCTGGCTGACTCTTGTTGAGTCGTTCCATGCGAATCGCTTCAAATTCCAAAAATGCCCATCAGAACCACCAAAGCGCAGCCTAAAGACTACGCACCTCACAATTTCACTTTCGTGCAGGTTTCGAAACCCGTCCACAAATCCATGACCCACGGGTTCTCTTTTTGCTTTTATGTGGCGTCTTCAGATGCCTCAGGACTTAGGCCTCCGAGGGCTTAAACCAAGTGGCTACCCCTTCCAAGCTCCGGTCTTTCAACTTAATACATGACACAAGCCATCATGATTCATGATGTCCATGGTTGCTTTTTGTTGGATCCTGGCCGTGAAGTGCACAACTATGTTCGGCCTTTCAACTGCAGAGTTCGTGATGGCTCGATGCACTATTTGGAACATGCGTCACTGCGCTTGTTTGTCTGGGTTTCCCTGAATAGACGCCCCCAAAAGGGGTGCCTTCAACAACGACAAACCCCACGGATTGCCACCAATCCATGTAACTTGAGCCTACCCCATTCGCGGTTCCAGGTTCGAATCCCGAAACCCAGAGCCCGGAGCGGATGCACAAACTCCAGCAGCCATCCATTGAGGACGTGCAAAAGTGCTGAGTCAGCGGACTTGGTGTCTTGGGGATGGAGTCAGTCATAGTCAGTCATGCCCCGCATGGACCATCTCGTACACAATTTGTATCTTGGGCGTGTCCTAGGCTTATCTTGAGCTTCTTCTAGGATGGGCGTCCTCGCAAACACCTTCTGAGAGATGTATCGGTGTAAGTTCCAGTAAGGATTATGTTGCTTTGCAATTACACAGCAACCCAAAGAGACGTAACAGCTCCTTCAAGAATACTCAAAACATGTACTGCCTTCTGCTCAATCCATGAGTTCTGTGGTTTTTGGCCAGAATCGAAGACACAAGCTTTCTACGCATCTACATGTTCAGTGTGCAAGAGCATCAGTGGCAAGGGTTCCTGATTGAGGTGTACTGGAAAACCCCACCTGGTGGATCAATGACATCGACTATGTTTGATGCTAACAAAGATGCAATCCAATGCATGCCTGTGAATTGCGTGGCTTCCGCAGGATGGGCGCCGCCCCAGTCTTTCATCAATTGGGTATCCTGCAAACGCCTTGGGAATTGCACCAACTATAAAATAGTTCGCCAACTGAAAATGCTCAAGCGGCACCATCCTTGCGGAGCGCATGTGTGAGAAAACGCCTTTCTCAGAATCAACTCAACATACATCCCCGCATGCATATCGAAGAAAAGGGGGGACTTTTCTGGAACAGCATCATTTGCCGCCTTGAAGGGGGTAGGGGTAGGCCACCTGTTCAAGGGCAAAAGTTTGTAGTGGATGAGCAAACGTGAGTTTCCTGCGCATTTACTCTGAAGTTGAGCTCGGGAGTACCGAAACCACTTCCGCAACTGTGGTTCGAGTGACCACGACTTTTGACACAAATGGTGGCAAGTTACACGAGAGGTTGACCAAATTATGACCCGTTTGGGAACACCCTTAAGAACAATCGAACCCCCCCCCCCCCTGCACAGCAAAAACCCAATCAGCCCCACTCCGTACCGTGTGCTACGCCCAAGCGCCTGGGTTTGACAACATCCGGGTCCGGATTTGCCAGTAGCTCCTGGTAGCGCTCACGGTTCACACCCACCTTGGCCGCAGCATTGTGTCGCGGGCTGTGAAATAGGGTGGATGAGCAAAATCATGCGCCACGTTGAAACATAGGAAACCATTGTTTGTTGGTAGATACAGGGGAATGATGCTAGCGTTTCTGCAGGCTTTTTTGTCCATCCACAGTAGGAGGGATGGCTCATGTTGGAAATGGCCGTTCGGCACAATTCCCGGCCAGAAAGGGAAGCGCACTTAGACGAGACCAAACTGCGAGCAGCCCCAATTCTCACCCAGAATTTGTGTTGGCGGTTTTTCCCAATGAATATATAAACTATCCTTCGATTGTTTGAGGGGGCCCTTCGCACATTCATCAAGTAATCAGATACCCTCTTCAGAATCTTCTCTGGGCTCTTGCATTCTTCCGCCAAGCCGCAAGTCCCACACCCTCCAAAAGCAATTTAGCCGTAGACTCACTGGCCCAACGGACCATGCAAAACTGTCCACCTGCGGAGCCGAAGGCTAAGGTGGACCCAATTCTCCAGAACCTCGATTAGGAATCACTAGGGGACCATTTGAGGAAAAGGAAACCCCTTTGCAAGTCGCATTCAACCAATGGAAAAAAAACAAAAGAAGCGCGAACCACGCCAAACCCTTGAAACAAAACCAACGCTCCACCCCACTTGGCTGCTGCTTGTTTGGAGCTTAAAGCTTCAACTTGCCAACAGGAAAAATGCATTGCACTAACCACGGAGGATATCAACCAAAAAAACAAGGGTGGCTTTATCGGCCGCCCATCCGATTTGGGTTGGGATCGGGCCCCAGTTTCAGTGGATGTGGGGGGGGGCTCCTCGACCTCAGATATGCTGTTTGGGGGACCATTCGCCAACAGCAACCAGAGAGGGTTGTGAAGGAACTTCTCAAATTCCGCTGAGCTGTTGCCCCCGCGAACAAACAAGGTTTTTGAGTCTGGCCCAATACTTATTGAACATCGCGCGAAATCCGTTCAGAAGACATTTCTTCAGATGAAATTGAACTTTAAGATTCATCCCCATCTTCTCTCTGTTCACCTGTCCGGGTCTGACCACCTCAAAAATTCACGCAGGGGTCACTGGATTCCGCGGTTGCAATATATCGGTTCTTTCCGTTGAAACTGTCGCCACTTTTGGAGGCTAAAAGGGCTCCTGGCACACCCCTATTTGCTTTTTGGTTGCCCTACATCAAACAAAGAGGGGTACAATAACTTGTGTCCGTTTCTCCTCCGACTTTTCAGTTTCAGAGCTTCGTCCAAAAGGCGTGCTGCTCGATCTGCTGATGCAAGTTCGCCTCCGCAGTGACCACTTTGGACTTGCGCTGCTTCTCCTGCTCCGCTTCCTGCGCGGGGGGGGGGGGGGGTGTTCATAAGAAAAGGAGTTGGCACCCGATTCGAGGGACACCATAAAAAGGACGTACAAGAGTAGAGACAGCCCAAGGTCGGAGAAATCCGGTTTCAAGACACACCAAAATGTGTGTTCTGGCACAGTTGATAAGGGAAACCAACAGGTTGTTGCTTCAGCCCTTTCCGCGGGAAGCGAGGCGGCCTCCAAAACTCGCCGGGGCTAAGAACACAAAGTCATACAAAATCCAAAATGCTATTGCTTTAGTAGACCGCTGCTCCCCAATCACATTTGTAGGCCGGGGATCCTGACGTATTTGAGGCACGCGTCTTACTTACGCCCAGTTCTCGCCCCGCAAAGCCCGCCTCGAGCACCTTTCTCTCTTTCAGCTCCTCGAGGCCAGAGTCGCGATATGCGTCTCAGCAGTTTGCCGCTTGTTCCCTACCCAACTGGGTATGGGCCAAAAATTAAACACCAGGGTACTGCAGGCTTTAGTCCTTTTTCTCACTTTACCAGGGTTCCATTTTGGGTACCGATTTTTGACCCACAGCCAAATTGACCGTAGAGAAAGCGGTTTGTCATTTGCTCGGAGTCGCCGTTCTTTCAAGGCAATTGTCTTCTGCTGTCGAGAGATTTCTTCAGGCGGCTGGAAATCCATCAGGACGTCAAGGCAAAACAAAGCAACACCACAAAAAAGAAAAACCCACAAGGTTAATAGGTTGATTCCCTTGCGCGAAGAAAATAACAAAAAGACACAAAAACACCACCAACAAAAACAAACAACACACCATTTGTTTGGGCATGTGGGGAAAACCATCCGTCTCCACCGCGTTCCCAGCTCCTTGAGCTTCTGCTCTTTCAGTCGCTGCTGCTCAGCCATGGCCACCTCCTCTCGAGATGCTTCCAGGCGGAAAAAAATCCGGTTGGCCCCCTTCAGTGAACATCCGAATCCAACAAAATGGGTGGTGAATTCACCTACCAACCAAAATGGGATCCCATTGTTTTGACCCACAGCCAAATTTCAGCAGCGACCTTTTGGCGCATCGTGCATGTCTGAGAACATGCTCTGAGTGGCCAGTGGCGTGCTCTCGTCAGTACCGCGTAGTCACCAAAACCTATCGACTTTGGGTTTCACCAAGATGTTTGTGAAGGGTAAAAAAAGGGCCTCGCCACCCTAAGCCAAGCAGTACCTACTAAAATGGTCAATGTGGCTTTTGAGCGCTCAAATGGCCAGTGGACAAGGAAAACAGGCCAGTGTAAACTATTCAACCAGTGCTAAATGTTCAACCTGACATCACCCGCAAAAGGCTTCCTCGGCAAGGGGCATCCAGGCGATGCCCAGAATTTAAATTTCCCACACAAACAAATCAGCTAGTCAGTGCCTGGGCCGTGTTGCAAAATGGATCATGTAGAGCAGCTGATGAGGCTGACATGTTCAAGGGTGGCTGACGGGCCTCCTGAAGGACACTGTAATTTTGTCTAGTTTTGCCCGCAAGACCAAAACCATGAATGAAACTCCAGGGGTACCCCTCAACAGCAAGAAACAACTATTCAATTTACAGCATCCCGCAATTAGACTGATTTTAGCATTGCGTATTCACAAGTCTCCCAGACAAACCCAATGAACACCACTGTGGTGGTGCCCACAGTGCTCCGGGCCCTCACAGGGCCCTTCGATTAAGATCAGCTCACCATGCTCGTCTAAAGAAGCTGAAACGTAGATGTAGACTTTGCCCCCTTGAGAAACACGGGGCCTTGAACTCAAATCACACCAGGACGGCTGACGCACTATGACACGCTGCCCCGGGTGCCTCTTCTGCTTTGCGGGCTTTCTTCTCCATTTCCTGTATCACTTGATACCTCAGTGGCACACGAGCAAAGCAAAGCTGACCAACAAAATGCTCAATGCACAATCAAGGAACAAAAAAGAGATGCGTCAACTGACCCCCTGTTGTTCGATATAACCGCACCCCAACACACCCCGATGAACCCCACAAGAAACACATGGTGGCACTCGCCAGCAAACGTGAGGTGACTTGGCAAGCACGAGCTCTTCAAGCGCTTGACATCAAATCAATGGTGACTTTCACTCATATTACATGAAACCAGAACTTCCCTCATCGCAGAAGTGCGGGACGAGGCTTGAAGCCACTTGCTGCCGTCATGTCAAGTATGAGTATGTGCCAAAAGGAGGGATCTGCGGGATTTTTTCAAAAGGGAATCCAAAAGCACTGGGAACCCCTCGGTGGACATCATTTAGGTGGGCATTCATGAAAGGTCGACATGCATCCCCTAAATATTGTCCACCAAAGGGTTCGACACGCTCATTTTTTGGAGCTCTCTACTTTACGGCACATGTATACATATATATATATATATCTATATATATGGGTTTGTATTTTTCTACGGGGGCCGGGCTGGAAGGTTTGAGTACGGGGTATGATTCGCAGGTGTGATTCGCGGGTATGATTCGGGGTATGATTCGGGGGTGTGATTCGCGGAAGCAGCAGCAGCAGCAGTAGTAGCAGTAGTAGTAGCGGTAGTCGTCGAAATAGTGGTACTAGAAGTACTATTGTAGTAAAAAACAATAGTAGTAGGAGTCGTAGTAGTAGGTAGTAGTAGTAGTAGTAGTAGTAGTAGTAGTAGTAGTAGTAGTAGTAGTAGTAGTAGTAGTAGTAGTAGTAGTAGTAGTAGTAGTAGTAGTAGTAGTAGTAGTAGTAGTAGTAGTAGTAGTAGTAGTAGTAGTAGTAGTAGTAGTAGTAGTAGTAGTAGTAGTAGTAGTAGTAGTAGTAGTAGTAGTAGTAGTAGTAGTAGTAGTAGTAGTAGTAGTAGTAGTAGTAGGTAGCAGTACTAGTAGTAGTAGTAGTAGTAGTAGGTAGTAGTACTAGTAGTAGTAGTAGTAGTAGTAGTAGTAGTAGTAGTAGTTAATATTGTAGTAGTAACAATAGTAGTAGCAGTAGTGCAGCGACAGTAGAACAGCGGAAGCTTTGAAAAGACTTGGTGCTGGCCTTGGCAAGTTAAGTTCATTGCGCGGGTATGATTCGGGTATGATTCGCGGGTATGATTCGGCTAGGTGCAAAACGGCACTGATTACAAACTGAGAATGATGAATGTAGTAGTAGCTGTGGTATTAGTAGTAATAGTAGCAGTAGTAGTGGTAGTAGAAGCAGTTGCAGAAGTAGTGGTAGCAGCTGTAGCATAAGCAGCAGCGGCTGTAGTGGTGCGGACGCTTTGAAAAAGACTTGGCGCTAGCCTTGGAAGGGGAAGCTCATTGTCCGGGTATGATTCGGGTATGATTCGCGGGTATGATTCGGCTAGGTGCAATACGGCACTGATTACAGACTCAAAATGATGTATGTAGTAGTAGTGAGTAGTAGTAGCAGCAGCAGCAGCAGCAAGTAGTAGAAGTAGCAGTAGTAGTAGAAGTAGTAGTCGTAGTAGTAGTAGTAGTAGCAGTAGTGGTGGTAATAGTGGTAGTATTGGGTAGCGCTGGTGGTGGTTGTTGTGGAGGTAGTGAACAACACAAAACGGTAGAAGAACAGTAGCATCTTGCAGCATACGCTTTACGGGGAATGATTCGGGGGTATGATTCGGGGTATGATTCGGGGGTATGATTCGGGGAGGTCCCACCTTCTGCCTTTTGAAGCAACTCAACACACCAAAAAAGGACAAACCCATACATATATGTATATATTATATATATATATACCCATATATATGTATATACTCATATCCCGCTCCAAAACTCACACAAAGCTAAGCTTGGCTGGACCGGCTGTGGATGTTTCCCCGATTTCGGGACCCTTCTAGGGGGTCGAATTGCTTTTGGTTTCCCTCGCATCCTATCGCAGGCCACGGGTTTCTCAACCCATACGTGCACTCCAAAATCGGGGTGCCCCCCACACGCGATTTTTGTTTTGGTCTCTTCTCGGCCCGTGAAAGTCAAGCCACCCAACAGGAGTCTGTTGCTCCCGCGAAGGGAAAACACACACCCACACACATACTTACCCACCTACCCACCCACCTATCTCCCACCCACTCGCACGCACGCACACACAGACACAAAGACACACAGACACACAGACACACAGACACACAGACACACAGACACACAGAATCACAGACACACAGACAGGCACACCCGCACACCCGCACACCCGCACACCCGCACACGCGAACACCCGCACACGCACACCCACACACACCCACACACACACACACACCCACGCCCGCGCGCACGCACGCACGCACGCACGCGCGCGCAAAGCGCAAAGCGCACGCACGCGCGAACGCACGCACGCACGCACCCACACACAGACACACACACAGACACAGACACAGACACAGACACAGAGACACAGAGACACAGAGACACAGAGACACAGAGACACAGAGACACAGACACAGATACAGACACAGACACAGACACAGAAACAGACACAGACACAGACACAGACACAGACGCAGACGCAGACGCAGACGCAGACGCAGACGCAGACGCAGACGCAGACGCAGACGCAGACGCAGACGCAGACGCAGACGCAGACGCAGACGCAGACGCAGACGCAACTGCAGACGCAGACGCAGACGCAGACGCAGACGCAGACGCAGACGCAGACGCAGACGCAGACGCAGACGCAGACGCAGACGCAGACGCAGACACAGACACAGACACAGACACAGACACAGACACGCACACACACACACACACACACGCCACAAACACGCACACAGACACAGACACAGACACAGACACAGACACAGACACAGACACAGACACAGACACAGACACAGACACAGACACAGACACAGACACAGACACAGACACAGACACAGACACAGACACAGACACAGCACAGACACAGACACAGACACAGACACAGACACAGACACAGACACAGACACAGACACAGACACAGACACAGACACAGACACAGACACAGACACAGACACAGACACAGACACAGACACAGACACAGACACAGACACAGACACAGACACAGACACAGACACAGACACAGACACAGACACAGACACAGACACAGACACAGACACAGACACAGACACAGACACAGACACAGACACAGACACAGACACAGACACAGACACAGACACAGACACAGACACAGACACAGACACAGACACAGACACAGACACAGACACAGACACAGACACAGACACAGACACAGACACAGACACAGACACAGACACAGACACAGACAGACACAGACACAGACACAGACACAGACACAGACACAGACACAGACACAGACACAGACACAGACACAGACACAGACACAGACACAGACACAGACACAGACACAGACACAGACACAGACACAGACACAGACACAGACACAGACACAGACACAGACACAGACACAGACACAGACACAGACACAGACACAGACACAGACACAGACACAGACACAGACACAGACACACAGACACAGACACAGACACAGACACAGACACAGACACAGACACAGACACAGACACAGACACAGACACAGACACAGACACAGACACAGACACAGACACAGACACAGACACAGAGACACAGACACAGACACAGACACAGACACAGACACAGACACAGACACAGACACAGACACAGACACAGACACAGACACAGACACAGACACAGACACAGACACAGACACAGACACAGACACAGACACAGACACACACACACACACACACACACACACACACACACACACACACACACACACACACACACACACACGCCACAAACGCACACAGAGTTGGCTCGAGGTTTTTTGGGGCACGAGCCCCCATCATTGTGAGGCCATGACCATGTTCCAAACGATCCAAAAACAAAGCGATGCTTTTGGTTCAATCAAAATCGGGGACTCAAAACGGGGGGCTGTGGCTGGAACCTCCGGGTTTACTTCAAAGATGTCAATGGAAACCCTCTCCGAGCAAAAGGTGATCTGGGGGTCCCAACGAAAATTGCTGCATTGCTCCTTAACTTGCCGGCAGAGTTGCATTGGGTGCAAGGACATCTACTTGAACTTGATATGGCATGGGTCAAAAGCCCGTACCCCCAGTGAACATCCCAATCCCCACTATAATAGACTAAAATGGGTGGTGCACCTACTCCAAAATGGTACCATTGGTTTTGACCCACAGCAATATTGGTTGTAGGTCAAGATTTGGAGGGGAGGAGCTTCCCTCCCACTCTCTTCCTCCCTCTCGCACTTCTTTCCCGCGCAAATCGCAGGATGGTCGCAAGTGTGCACCCAGCGCAAAAAAGCCCCAGATGGACGTGATATTCAAAGGAGTGAGGCGTCAACAGTGGAAATCGATTGCCTGTTGGTGTCAACATGAAAATACGTGAACGCACATGGGAAAACAAACACTGGAAATCTCACGAGTTTGTCGTGGTATCCTTGGACGTTTGCCTGTGTCTTTCCATCACCACTTTGCCAGTTTCTTCCGTCCACAGAACGCGCCTCACTGCAAAATCCGGAGCGGGCATGCTTTCCAATTAGGAGATGCAGGCATCGTTCTGCCCCTGGAAACCTCTTGCTGGCCGCCGATAAAACCTCTCGTCCTGTGTCGCTGATTGGCCAAGCTTGTAGGGCCGCTCAGCGGCGCCAAAAGATTTGTCCACCTGAATCAGGGGCCCTCATCTCACTCACGCGCTGATGAGGGGAATGTCCCGCTTGGGGCTTACGATGTCCTCGATCTCCGCGAAGGATTTGCCCTTGGTCTCCGGCACCGACTTGATCACGTACAGCAGGCCGATCACCTCAAGCGAGCCACGAGATGTCTTTGTGCCATCAAGGATATGCCTGTTTTCCACTAAGATTGCAATGTTTAGATGGTCCATACCCGGGGTGCTGGGGGCCACACCGAACAAACATGCTGCACCACTTGAGATGATTGAAGCATATCTTTGCCGCTGATCTCTCTTTTCTCACTTCCGCAGACTCCACGCATGCCTTTGCCACAATGTTTTCCTCCGCAAAGAGCTGGGGAAATGAGCTCAAGTACATTGTGGGTGTTTAGCACCCAGGTCAAAACAAAGATTGAACCTCAAGCCAGCAGAATTGCTAGGTGTTGCATAACTGTTTAATCATCTGTATTACCTGTTGAGTCCTGGCTGTCCAAAACGCACGAGATTGAGAGGCCTGGCCACGAAGGTTTGCTAGACCATCAGCCGGACCATTGCCGACTTCAGATCCTTGCCATCCCTTGGTTTTTGACATCTGAAATTCATGCATGTGGCCGTGGCTCAAAAACATGGAACCCAAAATGGCAAACGGAAAGACTAAACCTGCGCAAGCCTTCCTGAATTCTGACTCACACCCATGTCAACTTGATATCAAACTGGAGGGCTGCAAAGGGCTCGAGTCCCGAAGTGCCAAGCAACCAGGCAGCACCCATAGAGGCCGAAGACTCCGCTGAAGCTAATCGCCGCCTGGCCGCAAACTTTCGATTCCTTCAGGAAGCTTCCAAGAAAGATTCGATTCAGGTGGCCTTTAAACACCCATGCAAAAAAGAGTCCCTCAAACACAAAACTCGAAGTGCGAGCCTTTCGAGGTCATATCACCCCTGAACTGCCCTCCTTAAGGGAATGCTCAAGGGATAAACTCCGAATAACCTTGCAATAGCACCCAAACATGACCTGTGCCAGGATGTAGTGGGGCTTCTCCCCAGGAGTTTAATTTGTGGATATCATGCTTGTGGGGTCTATGCAATCTATTGCCCTGACCATAGTTTTGGACCCACTAGCAAACCAGGTCTGGATCTGGCGATCGTAGGCAGAAGCGCCCGAGGTCACCTTCTTGCAACAAATCAACACTGGTAAATGCACGAACCCGATTGAAACCAGCGGAATCCAACCATGTTTAGCCAGACTGACCGAAAATGACACCTATTAAATATGTATATATATATATATATATGGTTTATATTATGCACACCATGTCGCTTTACAGTTGTTCCTTAGGTGACTAGCACGGAGAGAAATAACAGAAGAGGTTTTTGCCTTGGACATGGTCGTGTTGAACGATGTTCACGCTCAGATACAGAGGAGGTCCCTTCTGGAAGTGTGTGCTAGTTCGCATCCCCCACAAGTTGCTTGCCCCTGCCAGAATAGAAAGACAAATTAAATGAGGTAGCAACCTCGGACGAGG